CTGGATGCATTCTAAAGCTAGTTCTGAGAAGCTGCTCAGGTCTGCGGCTTTGTTGTGGCCTGTCCTGGATGTTTGCCTTTGAATCCAACTCTGTTGGAGAGCCCAACTTCACTTGTCTAGCTCCCTTAGCAGTTGGTGTTTCATTGGGTTATTTTGCCTGCTGGGAGAAGGGAAGAGCTGTCATCTAGACTTGACCCTTTCAGTGATGTGTTTGCCTTGGCTTGGTCTCTGCCCTTCCGGAGTGTTTTGAGGGTTCTGTAGGATCGTAGCCCTTTCAGACTTTGTGAAAGGTGGTGAGATAGATAAGCTTCAGGTATTTTTGTGCTGTCCCACATACAGACCCCACCCCCCTCCATTAACCTTTGTAGTTCAGGGAAAGGATAAAGCATCGTATGTTGGTTTTTCAGTCTCAGATGTCATTAACCTGGTTTCATGGAGTGTCTCCAAAGTGTGTTTTTTGACAGACTTGGCACTTTCTTATTTAGTAGGCTTGTATTGTGACCAAAAATTTAATATTGGCTGTTAGTGTCTGTGACAATTCATTTTGTCCACTTTGTTGAATGAATAAAGAGACATGACTTGTTCTAAAAAACATCCACAACATCACTGGACTGAGACTTCATGGCTGCTCATCTGCTGCTATGTGGGGCAGGAGTACCAAGAGCCAGTGCCTCAGAGCATTGTCTGAGAGCTGCAGGGTAGGGTGTGGCGCAGGGTAGGGTGTGGCAGGCCTGCGCTAGCGGACGCAGAAGGCCTTAATTAAAGACAGGGCGTTATGCTTTCCTTTCCATGAACTCTCAGAAATGGTGATCATTTATACATGATACAAATACCTGAACTACTACTTTGTGGCAGACATTGAATGAAGCACTTCAGATAATGGAATGAATGGGCTAGACAGGCATCCCTTCAAGGATGCCCTTGATATACAGTCAGATTTTGAGTATGTTAGAAAATGTTTATCAGGGAAGAAAAACTGTTAATTGGCTTTAGATGGAGAGTGACTTAGGGATTAAAGGTGGCATTTTAGGTTAGTTGAAGACATTTCTGAAAGGCTTGAGTCTTCTGCAATTAAAGTTAGTTTACAGATGGCATTATTCTGAGATTGCTAGTGAGCCTGTTTCCTTTTCTGGGCCTTTCTCTACTGCAGTCGGGAATGACTTTGTGATCAGTTCTCAGCAGGGAGTGAGCATCTTCTGACCTGGCTCCTAGAGTGTCAGGCATGAGTTTGTACCATCTCATCTGTCTCAGTGCAGAGGAAGTCCCTGTCATGGGGTAGAAGAGGGTGGATGCCAGAGCTGCTCCTTGGAGATGAGGGACACAGGGACCCTGTTTGGGACTTTGGCATGTGCTTATAGATGTTAATGGTGCTTGAGCTTATTAACATGGTTTATGACTTACTTTGCCTTACTCCTAAGATGCTATGCCTAGAATGCTCTGTGAGACCCGAGACATGCTATCCATTACTCTACTTAATCTATCACTTACACGTGCAATGACTGGGTTTTCAAGAATCAGTCCAAGTCTTGATAGAGTAGGTGACAAAAATGTTTAATGTATCACTTGTAATTGGGACAGTGGCTTACTGCATTTAATATAGCTGCTCTCCCCTTTGATTTAATAAGCTTTGTGAACCCTTAGCCAGCTTTAACATTCTCGGTGTTTACTGCAAAGGCTGTAAAGAGCTTTCCTCTTGTAACTTCTCTCTTTCAGGGCCTTTAGTCGTTTACTGTATAGTGTTTTAATTTTATTAATTCATCCAAAGACTATGTGCGCACGTGACGAAAGGGCCTTTGTATACCATCCTGACCTAGGCTCTATGAAAAGACACAGTGAGGGAGACAGTTTGTGCCCCGTTACTTACTGCGTTGGTAGTTCTGCATTTGTGTGGCTGTCATTTTAGCCTTAAAACAACTGTGTCTGATGTTCTCATTATGCTGTTTTTAGTACTGCCTCATCACCTACAAAATGTAGCTTCTACAGGCATTGCTTCTCTTGGGTGCTTTTAATAGATACTGTGCTTGTTGTTTGTATTTTCTGGCATAGTTTTGAAAAGTTACCCAAGTCTGTACAATACATTTTTAGTTCATAGAATTAGGGTGTTGAGGAGTACCAGGACGGGGGGATTGATTCTAAGTCTTGATCTCTGAAGTTGGTCATCTGGTTCCTGATGGTCAAGGTTCCTGATGGTGTGGCATGAATCATGACATTGGCATCTTCTGGGGCTTGTTAGAGAAGGATTTCTGGCTCCATAGAAACCCATGGATTAGAATTCAAGTTTGAATGAGGCCCTCACTCAGATTACCAGTATGAAGGGAAAGTTGGAGAAGTCCCATTCAAGGGCTCTTCCATTTGAATTGAAACACACATGAACTTAGAGTGGTTGCCTAATAGTCACACTGGCTGTTAATTTACCACTGTCGGCTCATTTGTGAACCTGCACAAAAGGTGTTTAGATAGGTCTCCTTCCTAGATACTCTGCTCTCATTGGTCAGAATTGCATCCTGGGCATCGGAATCTTAAAATTTCCCATTTGATACCTGCTGTCAAGACTTGTTTGTTTGGTTAAAATGGAATTCAGGTTTCTGCATGATTGTCACCAAGTACCCTCTTTATACTCCCATAGTGACACATTCAGGAGCTGTGGAGGACAGTCCTTTCAAGCTCTCACTATTGTGTGCGTTTACCACAGTGATTTAAATACCCCACTTAGGGTCAGTTTACTTCACCCTCTAGAATGTCCCTTGAGGAGGCAGGATGCCCTTGTTTACTCTTGGGTCTCAGCTTCCTGAACTGTGTGGTCTGTGCCATGCCCCTTTCTCATTTATAGACCAAATGGAAGGAGTAAAGAGAGAGACACGTGCTGAGGGAGGAGTAGGTGGTTTCTGGTGCGCTATCTCCAGGGCCACACAGTTCACTTCTGTAGGAGGACTTGGACCCACACCTCTGCTTTTCCATGCTGTAGTGCTATCCTGTTGGCCTTGACATGTCCTGACTTGTCAGCAGTGAGGGGTGAACCAGGAAGGGTGGCTTCCACTCTGCAGACCTTGGTCTAGCTAGCACTCCTTTCTTTAGCCAGGCCACTGCGCTGTTGCAGAGAGGCACCCGGAGAAGGCACTCATGTGGCCCTGTGAAAGTCCCTTGAGCCTGGCCCAGGAGAGTCTAGTGAAGGTGCTTGTGTTTTTCCCATTGGGTTTATCTGCTTTGAGAACCTGGAGGTGGTTTTGAGGTTAAGATTTATAAGGTTTTCTCCCATGCTATGCAAGTTCTTTTCTGTTTATATCAACTGGGAACCTTATGAAGCCAGTGCTGTGGAGGAGGTGTAGTTGAGTTCTGTTGGTAGTGTCTGTCATGGTGCTCTCAGGGTCTGAGTTTTGTGTTGCCATTTGGGATGTTTTACCACTAACTTACTATCAGACTTGGAAGCTAGATGTGAAACCCATTGTTTGTAAGGCCATTTATGTTAATGTGTCTCATCAAACACTAGTGATTTTAAAATTTTGACTTAAGACTGTTAAGATGGCCTGAGTATCATTACCCTTAATGCTGATTATTTTTGGCAATAGACAGAAAATAAGCCTTGAATGTGAACCGGCCTTCTCTGTGTGGCTAGCAGATGGGCTTGGTGTCTGGCAGGGCTAGAGTGAGATGGAGAGATTTCCAGCACCAAAGAGAAAGATTAAGGAGCCAGCCAATAGCTACTCTGGGAGTGGAGTTGTGTTACAGGAAAGCTGTCTTGTATTTACCTCTAGCCTCTGGGTCATTGCAGCTGGGAGAGGAAAAGGAAAAACTCATGGAAGCCAAGTTTAGTCAGACAACTTATTTGCTTTCAGAGAATGTTAACATTGCTAAAGATTATCCTTGTTAACATAGTAAGGGTGCTGTTGGTGAAGATGGTGTGGCAGTTGAATTTTCTCACTTTGGAGGAGACATGACAGGGGAGTACCATCATAGGATCGCCATCTTGCCTTCCTGTGGTGATGTGAAACAGGTTCAGTTACTTCCCAAGGATAGCTAGTCAGTGACAAAACTCAAGTCTTTGTACTTCAGCTGTCGACCTTGAAATTGTCTTTGGTTTTTTTCCAGGTATAAAAACAAGTGGTTTACAATAATCTAGAGTTTCAATTAATATTGCAGCCAGACAAGAAGTCATTCTTAGGACCGAAAATAATTGACTGGAGAGATCCAAACATTTTTTTCCCCCTTTAAAGTTTTCCTGTGTAGGTTTTTGTATGGAAACTTGAGATTTCTTTGCATGTAGTAACGAGAGCAGAGCCCATGTCTTCTGACCTCCTCTTCCTGTTCCTACATAATGCTGTTTGCCAGTCAGCTGAGTCTTTTGTATGAGTGAGGTGTTGGGTGTGTTGCTGGGACATGGTTAATAGTGTTGATCCTGGCTGCAGATGAGGAAGTTATGGGTATTGGCGTTTTACGTGTTTATTCTGTGCACAGCACATGTGTACTCTAATAAAGACCATACTGGTTGTGCATGTTCTCATGTTTCCACATGTGTCTTAAATTTGGACATGCTCTTAAGCCTGCAGTGCAAGGCACTGCTATCTCTGAACTGTTACTTTGTTATATGCCAATGTCTTTGCCACTCTTAAATGCTGTATTGTGTATATCTCACAAACAAGAACATTGTCTTCCCTAACTACAGTAGTCAAACCCTGGAAATTAGCATTGAGACATTTCTAACACCCAATCCCCAAAGCCTGTTTCACTTTTGAATATTGTTAAAAATAATGTCAGAACCCTGGTGCATGTTCAATGGCCTCTTCATTCTCCGTGGTCACAGATGGCTGTAAGTGGCTGTCAGTCTTTCTCACCTTGCCACGGAAGATCCCAGGCCAGTAATTTTGTGGAATGCCCATGTTTGGATTTATCTGATGTTTCCTCGTGGTTAGATTCAGGATTTGCATCTTTGGCAGGAATATCACAGAAGAGCCAGAATATGTCTTTCAAAGATTAGTTTTACATTTTATTTTCTGTTTCCTTAGAGCGTTTCCCAAAGTGTATTCTGCGGAACTAGCACCTACTGTGTTCTCAACACCGTGCCACCTATAGAAGGTAGGATTTGAAAAGCTTTTGACTTACAAGAATGGGTGGGCTTGACAGCCAGAGTAACTCCTTCCTTCCCCAGTGTGGTGAAGAGAGCCCTTGACCAGGACTTAGGAGGCCTGGCTCTGCCTTTTCTGCTGTGTGATCCTTGATGAGTTACTTAATGCATTTGGGCAGCACAAACAATGCTCGTCTCGTGAGCTTTCTGGGAGGGTTTAAAGCGAAGCAGGCAGCCACACAGAAAGGTCCCAGCCCCTGCAAATGTTGGTTTTAATACAGCACTTCTGTAACTGGAGTCCAGTACTGCGCCTGGACTATGTAGAGTAGGATGAGGTGGTGTTGAGGAACCAAAGATTATTTCTGAATCCCAGCTGAGCTACTTGTAACAGTGGATTTTGGTCAAATTAGTCTGAGCCCTCAAGTTCCCTATCTGCAGATGGGGAGTGATTAGGACATCACATTTTGTCATGAGGACCAAACAAGAGGGCCTAGTATAAAGTCCTGTCTGGGTGCCTGGTCTGTTACAGTAGCCTTCCACGAATGTCTCCTATTCAGTAATAGAAACCTGATCACCTGGTGCTAAAGTAGGAGGTGAGTGAAATAAAGTAAGGAGGGTGCCCTCAGCTTAGGTGTGTGCAGTGCGAGGCTTCTGTGCCTCTGCTTTGTCTGTTCTTACCCCATATTTTATATTGAAATGCAATTGTGCAATGACTAGGAGTTTACAGAACCTGGGTGATGAGTAACCTAGACCAAGGATGCAATAACACAGTTGAGAAGAAAACAGTAATTCTGGGCTGCCTAAGACTAGGAAGGGTGAGAGTGGTACTTGATACAACTCCACAAAGAGAGGAAAGAGGTTGTTAAATAACAAAACTAGGCAGGCTTTGCTACTTGAAATTATTAACTATTTTTAATCACTAAAACTCCTGGAGAATTACAGTTGGGTTTCATTTCCTCCTCAGACTGGAAGACAATAGCCCCTGCTCTGACAGTGCTCTGTAGAGTGGGTACTTAGTGACTTCTGTTTGGGGGACAGGAATTAGAAGGTATTAGGTTAGTCACAGCAGTGCGTAGCGTGAGTGCTGTGCTCTCTGGAACACACCAGTGTGTGCTTGTTTCCCTGAGCCAGTTCTGATTCCACTAATTAAATCTAAGCACATAATAATTAGAGCCAAACAGAAAAGTGTGGAGCTTCCTTTCAGTGTTTCCTCTGCACACTGTTGATCGCATACCCCTGTAAGAGTAGCAGTTGGGCGTGCTGCTGCAATAGAGCATGCATGTGTTCACTCTTGAGGTCCAGAGACTGACCATCACCATCACCATCACCATCACCGTCCACTCACCAGAGCAAAGATGTTCTCATCGCCATGGGCCCCAAACGGAGACATTTTTATTGTAAAGGGACTAGTTACCAGGCTAGTCTAGTTACTACACTTAGGACTTAGCTTGCAGAAATCTGAGCACCCCAGAAACAGGCCAAATGCATCGCTTTGGGTTGACTTAGAGATGTAGCAATGTGAATCTCAATTTTAGAAAAAAAACCTGAGGGTTAGAATCCAGTTAGCTGAGTGAATATTTTTGTACATTTTAGAAAGATTTAACTAAATTACACTATGATTCTAAAATTATCATTTAGAAAATATTTGAAGGTTGACTAGAAAGGATGGTTCATTCTCTAGAATTATAGCTGTCTGCCAAGCACATCATCTGTCAACTTCAAGAGCCCCACCAGTTACGTTTTTATTGTGAAGTAGGTTAGGAAATTATATTGTGAAGTCATGTATCATGCATTTTGCTAGATAATGATAATGAAATGCTTGCCTGTCATTTAGTTGACATTCCCACTTTGCAGTGTCAAAGTTTAACTGTTTGGGTTGAATATGGAGGTAACAGTTGGAATCAGTTTATACCTTAGTTTTATTGTTAAGATACTGTTACTGACACTTTAAAACTGACACATATGTTCGGTTATTTAATCATTTTACAGCTATTTTAAAAACATTAAACAGTAGCTTTTAATTAAAAACACATTTTATGCAGTACCACTATGTGAACAGTTCTTTTCCAATATAAAAACGAGGTTTTTTTTATTACCATATTTTAACAGAAACACTGAAGTTGAATTATTTTCCCATGTGCTTCTAGGTGATGACTTTAGCATTTTCCTTTTTGGGTTCTGACTCAGCCCAGTATTGAACTTGCTTTTTCATAAGCTGGGAGAGGGTCACTTTCCCATCATATGGTTCCTAAGAGCACCTGACGTAGTTGAGCATGAACCTAGAACAAGGGGATCTGCTGGCATGTCACACAGCCCTGCCCTTTGAACCCTTGCTGCACAGTGCTATTGAGAGCTGTGGGGGGAGCTCGGTTGAGACAGTGCTCACAGCATCCTGTTTTCCTCTATAAGCATTGCCTTAGGGTTCACTCACCACTGCCAGCTGCTGACAGAGTGGGAGTCTGAAGCTTTTCCTCAAGCAGGGCCATTGAGAGCTAGAGCACAAACACATACACTCTCTCAAACACTCTGACTCTCTCTCTCTCTCTCTCTCTCTCTCTCTCTCTCTCATCCTCACATGCACAACGTTCTGTCTTACAGACTCAGTGTTCTCTCACACAAACTCAGCATTCTTTCACATACACCCATGCACACTCAACATTCTTTCTCTTACACATATTCAACATTCTCTCACACAATTCGATGTTCTCGAACTCATGCACACATTTTTTCATACACTCTGAACAGTCTGTCACATTTATACACACTCCATTCTGCCCCCTCCCCTCCCCTTCCACTTCCCTCTCCTCCTCTCTCCTCCGTTTTCCTCCTCACCGGTGGCACCCAGGTTTCTTAAAGAGGCTAAAGGGATAGAAATGGAGCATTGGTTGTGATCACAAATGGAAATAGAAACTAGGTTTAATACTGTGTTCTGCTGTAAATAGCTTTTTCATGAAGATGACTGTTCATATGCAAGGTATACTCTGCATTGACTGAGACTAGCCTAGTGCTCCTTTCATAAAAGATACTTCATATATATATATTGAATACAATATAGATTAAAGCCACATTAGGGTTAGAGCAGGAAGGTAAAACCTCATGTGATTTTGTGCTTTAAAGTTTATGGCCCATATTCCTCCCTGGAGGATGAAGTGTAGGGAGCACGTATGAGCACATGTGACTAAAGGCTTTATAGTAAGCAATTCACAACAATACCCTACCAACTTTTTCATAGTTGATTTTCTTTTGATTTTGAGCAATATTTTAAAGTTTAATTTGGTATTAACTTACAATTTTAGATTTCCTAAGAGCAGTGTCATACCATACGTTTTTTCACTGCTGTAGACATGCACAGTTGTGTTAAATTTAATTGGCTGTGTAGTTCATGAACCAAAAAAAAAAGAGTGAGTAGGCTAAGACTCTCAAGCTAGTCCCTGCAAAACATTCTGTATGACATGGTAGATTTTCTCACACTTTTATGCCCAATATTTACTTCTGACCTTTTCCATGAGAAGAATCTGTTGAGGAGTGTCCATGGAAGTACAGAAATAACTGGGGAAGTAATCGCTGTATTTCACTTCATATTCAAGCAGTACCTGGAGACCTCTGTATGGCTGCTGGCTTGTAAGGCATGCAGCTGTTGAAGGACCTTACATTTTATAGAAATTTGTACTTGAGGGAGAATGAAATGACCTCTAATTCTCTGATTCATGATGTGGGGAAACTGCAAACCCTGAGTAACTTTCCCAAGGTCACACAGGCAGAAAGCAGAGCTGGCACAGGTGTGGGCCATGGCCCCCGGGTGGGTGTTTGCACTGTCTCACTGATACGGTAAAGGCTGATGAGCCTGGGACCCGAGCAGGTGGAGTCTAAAAGTAACGTGTTGTCCCCAGGGCTCAGGTATAGACTGGGGACTTCATTCACAGTGACACATTGTAGTGGGTAATTTGAAACTCTGACTGAATTTTGCCACAAATGGCAAGGAATTTAGAGGCAGGGAAAGGGATTGCTTTACAGGAGTGGAAAGTAAACGACGTATAAATAAATGATGGAAATAAATGCTGTATAAAGAAATGACCTGCACAGCACCAGGCAGTCACACTTGCTGTCTAGTCTCACGTAGAAGGAACTACATTTGATGAGATACATGAACTCTGCAGATGGAAATCAACTTAAAGTGATATGTTTTTAAGGTGTAGCCTAGAAAGACCAGCTTCTATGTTACCTGTTAACCATGGGTTTAAATTCCTTTAAGAGTTTGTGGTATCCTTTAGGAAAGGATAAGTCTCATTTATATTCTAGGGAACAAAGTAATAATTCATTTATGAATAAAAGTTACATGTAATTATAGTTCTTCAAATATAAAAACCATGAAACTTCTAACTTGGTTAATAAACAGTTTCTGGGTTTTGTGAGGTTAAAGCATTTTGTAATTTTAATGTTTCTTGGATGTAATGAAAGCCTTTAAAGTAGCATTCTGATTTTGGGCGGCTCTGGGCACTTGGTTGCTTGTGGTGGAGTAAAACTGTCTGTTTCAGAGCCCCACAGGCCGATCCATGCTGCCATCAGCCAAGAGTGTAGATGAGGAGCTCGGAGGAATAGAGAGGCTCCTGAAGCTCTTGAAGGGCTTAGCCCTGAGAAACAGAGCTGCTGTTTCTGACATTGTCAGTGTACTTAAAGAGGCTTTCTCTTTCGTTCTCTGAATTTATTGTTTTCTTCTTTATAGATGATCATGGGAACAGCAATAGTAGTCATGTAAAAATCTTTTTACCGAAAAAGCTGCTTGAATGTCTGCCGAAATGTTCAAGTTTACCCAAAGAGAGGCACCGCTGGAACACTAATGAGGTAGATACACTTCAATTCTTAAGGGCGCATTATCTTATGGGTGAACTCTTGAGGATGCTTTGTGTAGAGCTGCTTTATATTAGCTTTAAATTCAATAGATTTAACAAGGAAATTGTTGATAAAAAGATATCTTTTTTTTTTTTTTTTTTTTTAAAGACAGGGTTTCTCTGTATGTAGCCTTGGCTGTCTTGGAATTTGCTTTGTAGACTAGGCTGGCCTCAAACTCAGAGATCCGCCTGCCTCTGCCTCCTGAGTGCTAGGATTAAAGGTGTGCACCACCATCGCCTGGTGGATTTAATCTTGAGCTGACCTGTCTCTGATGTACTGGGCTTGTGTTATAACCTGTGCATATGACTTCACTAAAGAAGCATGAGTGTGTGCTGTGTTCTTGCTCCTGGCATCTTGCATTCGGTGTTTGATCTACCTGTATCTCAGGTCAGCATGAGTTCTGTGTTGTCACAGATGAATGACTATAGCTCCAATGCTTTTACAGAAAAGTGTTTTGGAAACTTGAAGTCTATAGAGCTAGGGACAGGCTCATCAGTCCTTTGATGGAGAGAGAGAGAGAGAGAGAGAGGTTTTTTCAAATATTGACTGACTGCATTGCCTTAGAAATAGGAATTTCTGTTAGGACCACTGGCCAGATTGTGGGTCACATGTTTGACACCCAGATAAAGAGTAGATTGATGGAGTAGACAGAAGGAAAGTCTGTCTTCTTAGGTAAACTTTTAACAGGCAAATTTTAACTTGGGATTCTTAGTAGTGTGTTATTTTACTGTCTAGAGTTTTCATTTGAAATCTGGGTACTTAAGGTAGGGTAATAGCCATTAGTGGTGATAGAAACTGGGTATTGTCCCTCTCAGTGTAAGGTGATGTTTCCTTACTGTGGTGGTGAGAGCTGGGTATGCCTCTGTGACTCCTGTGACTGGGTTACTGGTTACTTACACACTAGCAGAAATGCACTTGTGTTGTTGGTTTACTGTTTACTTCTAGGTTGGCTTGAAGTACTTCCTCCCAACTGACAGGGCATGAGAAGGAACAGTGATATCTGTTAGACTTCATCTTGACTCTGCTGCTGTTTTAAATACTCACTAGAACTTTGAGCTTTGTGGCTTTGTCTCCCCTAAGTCCATCTTTGGTGTTTTTCTCACTTGCAGGGGTGGTCCTTGCTCTGCAGGGAGAGCAGCTCGTATCTACCATGGCCAGCATTAGCCTAGACGCCTCTGGTTCTGCTTATTAAGGGTTTCATATATGTTAGACCTGAAAAACAGTAACTGTGTTGAAAATTTGTCCTAGTCATAGACTGTCTTCTCTTGTCAGCAGTACAGTAGACTTTTGAAGCTTTGTAGGAATTCGCTACTAGCTTAGGAATTACACAGAAACTCTGTTTCCTGATGCTCCAAGACAGATTTAACACCACATTTTTATGCTTTAGCTCTAATTTACAATGGTCACAAAACACATAAAATTAAGCATGTTCTCTAGTTATATTTCATAAGAGGAGGCACCGTCAGCATGTTCACAGGTGTGAGAGTGACTGGGAGGTCGGGAACTTCACTGTGGAACTTTTCACCATTTGTTTGCATCAGAGCATTATTTACATGCTGCACTTTCTAACAACAGCTTTGTTATAAAACACCTGTCAGGGACTTTATGTGTGTGCATGACTAGGTCTTGATATGTAGGCCAGGCTGGCCTTGCGTTCTCTACCCTCCCATCTTAGCCTTCCAAGTGAGGTATCACAAGTATGAGCCACCATGTGCAGCAGTGTTTATAGGAGATTAAACGAGACAGTGGATGCTCTGGTTTCCCCGGTGCTGTGGGTTGCTGTTGCTGACCCTCTTTCAGACAACTGAAATATGAAGTTGCGGGTCTAGAGGAGGAAAGGTATGTTGTTCTGTGCAGGTGTTGCTGCAGCAGCAAGCACAGAGCAGAGTGTGTTGCTGGAGGTGCAGAGGAGGAGGCAGCACATCTGGGCGCCCCCTGACAGAAGCTCTGAGAAAAACCGGGTAGAGGGATTGGCCTGCAGTGCTGCGTGGGGATTGCTCTTTGTTTCTCTTGTCTTTGGAAGAGCTGGAGGGCTGCCTAGTGTGAAGTTGGGCGTCTTGGATAGGCGCTTTAATCCTAGATGCCTGTGGTGACCACACCTGTCCCTGCTGTATTAACACTGGCTTGGGCCACAGGGAGGAAGAAGGAGTCGATGTGGTCATGTAGGCACTCTCTTCCTTGGTTTGACTGTGTGGCATTTTCTGAACTCTCCCTCCTGCAATCATATCGTCATGGTTTTGGATTGATGTACCTTTCACTGGGCCTTCGTGTTCCCAGGAGAGGAAGTCCTGTGCAGTCAGCCTCGCCTGTGCATGAGGGCCCTGTGCTGGCTTATGGAGCGAAGTATCGGCAGCGTCGTCGTCGTTAAGAGCCCATTTTCTTTCCAGAGTGGACTGCTTGGCTGTGTTCTGGCTGAGAAGCATGTGAAGAGTGTGATGGCCTGTTGAGAAGCTTTTTGAACAGACATTACATTTCTTAAGATCCCACTTCCTGGAAGAGGTGTGTGTTGAAGTTGTGTTCCTGTCTCATTCTGCACAGCCTGTGCAAAGCAGGACGCCCAAGAGCTGCCCAAGGAATGGCAGCTGCCTCCCCCAGCCACTGTTCTTCTGAATCCCTGGGTTTGGTGTGACTCATTTGTACTTCTGAGAAGTTCCTTTACTCAGACTTGCTTTTAAACCTTTTTGTTGAGAAAACCCAGCTTTATATGTGGTGTTGCCATAGGGAGAGTTAAAACTGTCTCCGCTCCGGTGTTGCCATTTACTCAGTACCTGCACTTGTTAGACACTGACCCCAAATTTTGTCCAAGTCTTAGACCACTGTGAGGTGAGCAGGACTTCCTTTTAGACATGAGGCAGTGCAGGAGGGCTGAGTAGTTGAGTTGTGGCAGTGCTCTTGGTTTGCAGAGATTGTTTCCTCCTAGTGCCATTTCTTAAACTTCATTTCATGTGCATGTGTGTGTCCCCAGGTGGAGGCCAGGGGTCAGCCTCAGGTGTGGTTCTTTAGTCACTATCTATTGCAGTTGTTGAGACAGAATTCCTTCCTTACTGGTTGAAATTTGCCAGCAGGCAGGGTAGGTTGTTTGGTAGTGAGTAACTGTGTGTGTCGTCCCGTTGTGCCACAGCCCCCACTCCTGTTGATTGCGAGCTCCCACTGACCAAGCCTAGCTTTTTTATTTTATTCCTTATTGTTTGTGTGCCTTTGTTTGTGCACACATGCCACAGTGCCTAAATGGAAATCAGTACTCTTGTACAGTGTAGGTTCTGGGGATTGAATTCAAGTTTATAGGCTTGGTGGCAGGCTTCTTTAACTGCTGAGCCATCTTACTGACACAGAACAGCCTTTTCAGGTGGGATCTAGGGTTCAGACTCAGTTCATATGCATGTGTGGCCAGCACTTTACTGACAGGCCCATTTCCCAGTCCTTGGAACTTGCTTCTTCAGTTGCTTATCCCAGAAGTGTTGGAGAGTTGACCGAGCCAGGTGTTGTGCTGTGCCTCTGAAATGCACCCTGTTACTTGTCTTGCCTTTTCAGTGTAGGACCTCAAACTAAACATCGGTGTAGGCAGCAGACTTCTTCTAATGTAGCCTTGAGTTACAAAGTGAGTGAGTAGAGTGTTGGTTCATATCCCAGTGTTTGATAAAGCTGGAAGTTACAAGAAGGAGGCTTTGATGAGGTTATTTTGTCTTAGTTTAGCCTCGTGTATTTTAACTGTCTCTCTTTCTCTCTCTCTCTCTCTCTCTCTTTTTTTTTTTTTCCTGAGACAGAGTCTGGAACTTTAGACAGGCTAGCCTAGAGTCAGAGATATGCTTGCTTCTATCTCCAGAGTGCTGGGATTAAATGTGTGTGCTACCACCCCAGCTTATTTTAACTTTTCTTAACCTATTGGGCTATATAGATTCTTCTCCTTCTGAAATGTTATTTGCAACTGAAAAGAAATGGAGAGTGTGTGTGTGTGTGTGTGTGTGTGTGTGTGTGTGTGTGTGTGTGTGTGTGTAGAAGCAAATCAGCTTTAGCCTAGGCTTTCTTGGGTAGACACAGTGCTCCTGGGCCGTACGGGGACAATGCTGATTGCTACAATAGCAATCATGGAGACCAGTGTCTCTTGACTTTTGATTGTAGGGTAGGCCCGTGGGTTCCTCTTCATAAATATTCCTTAGCCCTTGAATTAACCCTATGAGGTTAGGCTGTTTGATTAGCCTCTTAGTATAGACAGGAAGTATGATATGTGGAGATGCTGGATGGTGATCTTAGAGTCCTCACACTGGGAAATGGGTGGCTGAGGAGTACAAGTCCTGCAGGCGCTGGAACTCATATTCTTTATTATTATTACTACTACTACTACCGACACTATTACTATTTCCCTCTTTCTCTTTCCCGTCCCAGTGTTCTTCCCCCTCTTGTTTTTGGGATAAGATCTCATATATCTCAGGCTGGTCTTGAATTCTGCATCTGGAATTCTAAAATCCCCAGTGCAGGGATTACAGGCATTTACAACTGAACTCTCTCTCAAGATCTAGCAGTTATTTGTAATAATTTTGTTATATAGAACTGTTTGACTTTTTAAATTCATTTCCCTTCTTAAGTATATAGTGTCTTGCATGATTTTACTTTAGTACCATTCATTTCTTAGGGAAATAGCTTTTCTTTAGTGTGTGACATGTATATACTATTGCATATTTGTGTGTATATTCATGTGTGTTTGTGTATGCACACACATGTATGTGTGTGGAGGCCAGACACATGTACAGTGTCTTAACTCTTTTTCTCTCCGTATTACTTTTTGAGATAGTCTCCCTAAACCTGGAGTTCATCAACTTGCAAGACTAGCTGGCCACCAAGCTCCAGGCATCCATGTCTCTTCCTTCCCAGGGTTAGGGTTACAGGTGTGTGCTTCCATGCCAGCCTGTGATGTGTGCTGAAGGGCTGACTCAGGTCCTCATGCTGAATGTGGC